TATATCAGAATTTTTGCAAGTTGCAATCGCGCAAACTGGCATTTCGATAATAGTTTTAAATTCTTGTAAATTCACTGCAAAAACTGAGGAAAGTCATTATAGAAAATAACAAATGTCTTAGAATATCTCGCAAAAAGAAATGATCCAATATTAGTTAGAGCTAGTAAGGCCAAACGCTCCGTTCTTGAAGTAAAAATGCGAGCTTTGCGCCAAAGTGACGTCACTAGAGTGACGTCGGAGGATCGGCGCGGCGAGAGATACTTCAAAGAGTGAACCAGCCCTTCTATTCTCTTTAGCCCTGCTGTACACCACTGTTCTCTAAGAATAAAATCCTTTCATTTTAATGAATAAAAAAATAAAGAAAGAAAGTGATCTGAACAACATTTCATAAACATTTTAATTCAGTATAATGAATTATTCATGCAGAGAAGCTTATCAATCAGAAAAATAATCTTATAGAATTAAATTATAATTAAGTAAGTTACTGTAAAATGGTCTTAGCAACAGTATTTCCCCCACTCATTGTTCATTTGCAGTCTAACGCTAATCTTCTACCCTAAACATCAGGAAAACTATTTTTTAGAAACACATTTTATGTATTTATTCTTAAAATAAGAACTTTTAGATTAATTGTAATTATAATTACATGTAATCATGATTATGAGTAATCATATTTTTTGATTACTTGTAATCATGATTACAAGTACTTGATTAAAGTAATTGGTTATGTAATCACGATTTCAGTTGTAATGAAAATTTGTAATAATGATTACAAGTAATCGATTACTGTAATTAGAAAATGAAACCAATTACATTTTTTCCCTACTCTGATGTAATCAAAAATTATGATTATCTGTAATCGCAATAACCTGCAATCGTGATTACAAGTAATTGATTACATAGCAGTAATTATATGTTATCAATTACAGTTGTAATCGACGCCCAACTTTGACATTAGTCCATAGGTGAGGCAACGAATACAATTAATATTTTTGTAACATAATAACATAAATTTATCACAACTAAACATAAACGTTAACATAAATTTATCACAACTAAAATTTTTTTATCAAAGATATTTTTCTTTTTCCTTTGAAATTTAGAATTCTATTTCAATTAAGAATAAGGAAAAAAAAAGACCATGAAAATCTTACATGATGCTGTTTTTAGTGCTAAACAAATGCTTCACCGTTATTTGATTTATAGCATATTTTTGATTAAAAAAATTATTAATTGCATAGTCACACAACTATTACAGATATACTGAGAATAGAAACTTAAATATTTTTGAATATAAAACATAACTTTAGAACAATAAAAGTTTTAATTTGTTTGTCAACTAAGTTGAATTTTGTACCTCATAATGTGAAAAACCACTTAAATTATTCACAATAGGTTAATAAATTTATGCAATATATCAATGAAAAATAAATTTATATAAAAACATTAGAGCAATAAAAATAAGTTTGTGAACAAAGATGAATTTTGTACACAACGTGAAAAACTACTTATATTATTACAGACAGTAATTTAAAAGTAAAATAAATTTATTTAAAAACATGCAACAAAAAATTGATTTTACTTGCAAAATTACATTTAAAAACATTCTTTTTATGTATAGAACGAAAAAAAATTGCCATAAAATTTTAAAAAACATCTAAAAGCATGTTTATAAAATTTTTTAAAGAAATTATATTCTGTATTGTTTTTGTTTTCAAAATAAAATGCATAATTTAAGTAAATAAATTAAATGAAAATATTNTTTATTTACTTAAATCATTCTTTTTATGTATAGAATGAAAAAAAATTGCCATAAAAATTTTGAAAAACATCTAAAAGCATGTTTATAAAATTTTTTAAAGAAATTATATTCTGTATTGTTTTTGTTTTCAAAATAAAATGCATAATTTAAGTAAATAAATTAAATGAAAATATTTTTGATAACATTCTACTTCTAAATAATTTAATGTTAAATTAATTAGTAAAATATCACATTCATTGCATTTTATCAAATAAATCATTTTCTCTGCATTTAAGTCTTCACAATTATTTCAATTCTTATGTTAAATTGTTAAATATGAAGTAGCAAGCAAAAAAGCAGCCAAATTATAAAATTTAAGTAAACTTTTAAGATAATTTTTAATTTTTATGTTTAAAATGGTATTTTATATAATTTAACTTAAATGTGAAGTTATATTCCAATTTTCATGTTTAAATTTAAGTATTAGTAAATTTAAGTATTTTGTCACAAAATCAAATTTTGTCACAAAATCAAATTTAATTATTAAAAAAACTGGATTGTTACTCCTGAATTTTTTAAAAAAAAACTCTCTTCTTACACTTCAAAAATAGTGATTTAGAGATTATGTATCAAAAATAATGATTTAGAATATTATATTATACTTAATAAACAGATTATATCATCATTTAAACATTATGTGAATAAATTTACAAAAATAAAGTTAGTCAGTAATATGAACAGAACATATAGCGTAAAATTCCTTTATAGAGATATACTCTAAGAATTAACAACAAGAGAATCAGGTTTCTCACAAGTATGAACACGGAAATGCTCAGTCAGACAATTTCCATATGAAAAACTCTTATTACATATACTACAGGAAAAAGGTTTCTCGCCAGGGTGAACGCTATTGTGTATAGTCAGATCACTTCTGCATGAAAAACTCTTATTACATACACTACAGGTGAAAGGTTACTCACCAGCGTGAACACGACTGTGTTTATTCCTATTACTACTGCGTGAAAAACTCTTATTACATATTCTACAGGAATAAGGTTTCTCACCAGTGTGAATACGATAGTGTATAGTCAGATGAACTCTTTGTGAAAAACTTCTATTACATACACTACAGGAAAAAAGTTTCTCACCAGTGTGAACACGATTGTGTTTATTCATATTACTACTGCGAGAAAAACTCTTATTACATATACTACAGGAATAAGGTTTCTCACCAGTGTGAATACGATAATGTATAGTCAGATGACCTCTTTGTGAAAAACTCATATTACATATACTACAAGAAAAAGGCTTCTCACCAGTGTGAACACTATTATGTCTACTCAGATCAATTCTTTGTGAAAAACTCTTGTTACATATACTGCAAGAATAAGGTTTCTCTTCCGTATGAACACGACTGTGTCTAGTCAGAACACTTCTTCGAGAAAAACTTATGTTACATATACTACAAGAATAAGGTTTCTCTTCCGTATGAACATGACTGTGTCTAGCCAGATGACTTCTTCGTGAAAAACTTGTATTACATATACTACAGAAAAAAGGTTTCTCACCAGTGTGAACGCTATTGTGCACAGTCAAAATACTTTTTCTCGAAAAACTCTTATTACATATATTACAGGAAAAAGGTTTCTCACCCGTATGAACACGGCTGTGATCAGTTAGATGACTTCTCTTTGAAAAACTTTTATGACATATATTACAGAAAAAAGGTTTCGCACCCATTTGAACAAGATAGTGTTTAGTCCTGTCACTTCTATGGGAAAAACTGTTATTGCATATACTACAAGAAAGAGGCTTCACACCAGTATGAACATGACTGTATTCAGTCACATTACTTCTTCGTGAAAAACTCTTATTACGTATATTAAAAGAGTCAAATTATTAACCAGTATAGGTCTGACTGGTGGTCATTTAGATTACTTTTCTATGAAAACTCATATTTCATAAGTAACACACCTTTCACATAAACATTATGAAGAGATTTTCTGATACTGTTTGTAAATTTAGACACTTTAACACAAAATGCCGAAATAACCTCTTAAGTTTTAAATGCATAGTAATCATGAGTACAAGGAAGCTCTAAATAATATTTGCAATGATAATGCCTGTCTTTATAGACTTATAATGAAGATTCCCTAATGAATGACGATAATTGTGCCATACGAACAAGATCTGTAAAAGGTAAACAGTTTATAGAAATGAAGCTTTTACTATATTTTAAAACACTTTTTGCCATTTATTGCTTTGAAGTATTTTCCTTCATACATTGCCAATGTCTTTTCAACAAACATTGTGTTAGTATCTTAACGCAAACAATCTAAAATCAATGAATATATTTCCCACATATTAAAGCAAGAATTTCTATTTAACATGCTAAATGATATACCAATTTAGAACACATTTTTCCATATTCGGATAACAGATTTCCTTACTCATCAACATCTATACTTGATTGTTTAGATAGAAGATGATGATTACTGTCGGGCATTTTTAGAGCTCTTTGCTTGGTTGCGCTTATAGCTTGCCTATTGTAGATTGAAAGATGGGATGAAGCTTATGGATGGGTGATCGTGTAAAACTAAGGGTGGTGACGCTAGTGGTTAAATTGCTCTCGGCAAGACTTCCGGGTTACTGCTTCCGATATATTTTCACGCCGCAGATTGAAAAAACGCGCCATCATATTATTGCATCATATCTTTTGCAGTATTTCACATGTACCGAGTTCTTTCTTTCAGCCTTTAAACTTCAGTATTATCATATTAATATTATAATCATTAGAATATTTTCTAATTTAGCTAACTTAGAAAGATATTTTTGGCGACATTTTATTCAAATGTAGCCAAATAAGGGATAAAATACAAAACATGGCAAACCTTAAGAATTATTCACAATGAGATATTAACTTTCCAAAATTATTTTTGGCCTTACGACCTCTGAGAATCAATACATTTCTGAAAGCTCTTATGAATGGTACAATTATGTTTAGATTTGAACCCAAAGTACAATAACAAAGCTGCATAGAATATTAGGCTTGTTCACATATCGCCTCGTATTCATAACATAAGCGGAGGGATACACCGGAAATTTTCTAAATTTCTTCCGGTTTAAGGACGCTTGTTATTGTTTACATTAGGCCACCCATCCATACTGGCACACCAGCTGACAGTCTTTTTTTTTCTTTTCTGTAAACTGAACAGATTTTTATTTTTACAGTGTGGCTGTAAGAGGACATTATCCATGCCAAATAATCTTTAACTTTCTTTTTAAGTTAGTTAAATCACTAAATAAATCAAAGGACTGAGAGACGCCAAGCTAAACTTTCGAGTTTGAATAAGTTAAAGCTATACATGGATATTGAAAATAAAAATTCTGAACAGGTGCATGTTTACATTCCTCAACTTTTCTTGAGAAAGCTGAAATCCCAAACAAAATGCTGTTTTTTAAAGAACGTAGCCTCAACGTAAATACTAATACTAAAATATTTTATTTGCTTTGTTGGATTTACTTTGGCCCGAAAACTGGCTCTTATTAAAGAGTTAAATCTGTTTAAAATAAACTATAAGTGTTTTTTAAGATCTTGCAAATAATGTGTGAAATATGGACACTAACAACAAACAAAATTGCTTTAAAAATAGTTTTGCAAATAGGGTAGAATTTTAGTAATTAAAAAATACTTTTGATTTTAACCCTTTATATCTCAACATCTCTGATTTTAATAAATATTACTCATACATTAGAATACATCATTCTAAGCATGTAAAAAATAATAAAAAAATTTTACAACATAAAATAAAAAAAGTTATCGGAAAAAAATTGATTGTTGCATTTCTGCAACATTATGCAAAATGACAAAAAAGTGCTTGTTGCATTCATGCAACATTGTGAAAAATGGCACTAAGATTGAAAGATTCAAAAATTTTAATTCATATCAAAATTTTTAAAACGGTTGTTACTTTGGTTGTAACAAAGTCCTACACCACATTTCTCACAAATAGTTTTGTGTAAATCCTTTGCATTTTGGGTATTTGCATCTGATTCTTTTGTTAGCCTAATTAGGCCAGTGCCCAATTTCATCTTGGCGCACTAGTTTTGGCCGACAATCACCGAAATCGTCCTTTAAAATTTGTTGGGGCAAAGACATAGGCTTTTTGTGTATGTTGCAGATATGCAACAAGGTGATATAAAGGGTTAAAAAATTGAAAGAGGAATGATTCTTATGTTTCAGAAAGGTTGCTTCAGAAAAATCTGTTAAGTAACTAATTGGATAAAGATTCCAAATATTAGTTGAAATCATAAAGATAATTTACTTACCAATACAAAGCATGTAAACTCCAGTAAGTATAATTATGGCCAGTGCAAATAATTTTCCAAAAGTAAATACATTTTGAACTGTCATAGACCACTTCACATCCCAGCAATTGACGAAGGTAAGAATTACTAAAAATAAATTAAAAAATAATCAACAAAAATTGGGAAAGAAATAATTATTCATATTATTCAAAGAAAATTAAGATATTGCAAGGTACATAACATAATCCGAGTCATTAATTAAAATTAAAACACTCATAAATGTAACTAAAATTAAGAAAAAAAGAAGATTTTTTATCATTGATCAGAGAATAAAGAAATGACCATAAGCAGATTATAAAGCTTTCTGTGGGGAGGGCAAAAAAAAAAAAAAAAACTTTATTACAGCCTCAGACACAATTCAACTTAAAATATTTTTTACACTGATTTGTTAGTGCTTTTGAATCCAGATATGTTTATGAAACATTTTTTCCCTACAGTTATACCGAACTTTTTTTTACAGTGTAGAGAAATAGGTTTTTTTCTTTAAATATTTCAGGGAAGTTGACAATAAGAAATAACCCAATAACTTGATTAAAAACTTTATTCCCTTAAGAAATGTAGCAAAATGGAAATGGAAGTCAACATGTTTCAAGTGCTCAAAAATAAGCACCCATTTTCAAGATTTGCCACATGTGAATGAGAAGAAATAGAATTGATTTAAAATAGAAAATGTAAAATTGCCAACGAAAAAGTAATAAAATAATTAAATAACACATTTGCTAGCTTGAAAATAAAGATTTGTTTCTCAAGAAGATGTTTAATATTTATCTTACGTGGGACTGAGTGTATTTAGATATAAAACGCATATTTTCTTACACTTGATTCCTTGAAATTAAAAGGTTAGAAATTATACCCGAAGTTGATCATAATTCAAATAACTTTCTAAATAATGTAAAATAAATTAAAACGTTTTTTTTTTCTTTCGAAAAGCTTTATGTATTATACGAATTCACTCATAACATTCATAAAATTAGATAATTGCATTAAAAGTTTAATTTAAAGCAAAAGAAAGGTGTTCCAACATTCTTACGGAAGTATTATGGGGCGGGGGGTTGTATTTTTCTGACAAAAAGAAAGGGCCAAAAATATGTTTACGTATAAGATCCCAAATTTAAAAAGATGGATTGGAATATAGAAACCTTTTGATTTAAAAAAGTAAAAAATATACATATATAAATGTAAGCTTGTACAATCAATAGTCAAGAACTGGTTTAAAGAATACGACGGCATTTAGTCTAGACGACAATGCTTTTAAAAGATAGAGTTTCGGGGGAAAAGTAACTGGCGCCTTATTCAAATTTTTAGGAAACGTGATATTTTAACCCATGCTAGAGGTTAACCTTGACTAAATAATACGAATTGACATATGGTGCAAATGTATTCTATATCCTTGAATATATTTTATTTACGTTGCCTTATGCGGGCACTTATTATGAAAGTAGATATCTCTTGTAAAGTAATTAGAAAAAGAAAATTTTAAAAAAGTTAAATTGATCTGGTTTTCTACAAAAAGAAAATGTTTAAAGTGCTCTGAGATGCTCTTAAAATGTTGCAGTATAACTCAATTTCTTTTTTTCTTTTACTTTTTATGGGAGGAGGGTGATATAACTTAAAAAACAAAAACTTAGATTTTTTTTCTTTATATATATAACTGGCGACAAACTAAATTTGGCACATTTTAATAGTGCACTCTTTAACTTGAAAACTGTTTAATTTTATTTAAAGAGAATTTTTTTGAATCACAAATTTCTAAAATATATAAATATATAATAACCTACATATTTTATAGAGTCACTTCAAAAATTTTGACTCTTTTAAGAACGGTGTATCTTTTGAAATTGGCTTTTTTGATACAAAAATATTTGAAGGTAATATTCCATCGCTTTTTTTATATTTGTCAACAAAAAGGGGTAATGTAGTTTGATATTTCAATGTTGTGTACATCAAAATATGACAAACTACACTACTTGAGTAAACATGAACGGTCAAAACTACCAGAATATATTAAAATTTACAGTATTTCTGACTCTATCGAAGTCCCGCAGTGGACTGATCGTTAAGACACGGTTCCCAGCAGATCACCAAAGTCAAGCATCACTGGCTGCGGTCAGTGTACGGGTGGGTGACCACTTGGATCAGCCTGCGTTGGGACTGAGGGTGTGCGGTATAGGTCCTCGTTAAACTGTTCTACCGTAAAGTGCTCGACTTCGCATGCAGGTCTTCGGGCTACCGAAGCGGGGGTGCCATCCCCTCTGCAGAGGATCAAAATTGTGATGGCATGTCTTCGGATCATCCTCAGGGATGTTTCCCAGACCGTCGCCAATAGCCCATTGTGCAGCTCTAGTGGGACATAAATGAACTACAACAACTGACTCTATGGAAACACCAAGAAGCTCGGTAATTTTAACCCGAGTGCTTAGGAAAGAATTTTGGTGAAATTCTCAATAAAATATGGTTTATAATGTGAAATAAAATTTGTGATAAATGTGGTAAAATTTGGTAAATTTATCATGATGCCTTAGAGCATAGCATATAAACTATTTTTCGGTTAAATTTACAATTATGTTTTGTGAATTTTTTAGTAAATGTATGGTAAGAAATGTATGGAACGGAAAAATTACCAAAGAATGGTTTAAATCCTCATATTTTAGTTCTTAATACCAGAATTATATTTTTTGATAACCAGAAATGTTATTGCTGTACAGTATAGTAACATGCGTAACATGGAAAGGAATATCACAAAAATTTGCGGTGGCTAACCAGACAGCAAGCGGATTCTAACCCGTGATCCATCTAACAATGAGGATATTTTAAGTCAACACTGATTGACATAACACACCTGTCTTATTTCATTTTATAATTAGCGATAAGCAACCAACTCATTTTTGGGTTTAGGACTACCAATGTTCTTTTCTGTTGTCTTCTAATTTTGAACCCAACCTAGAAAAAAAAGGGAACTCGTACATCAAGTATTGGGACAAACTAACTTTCGCAAATTTTATCACAATAATTTTGCATATATTTTATTTTATAATCTTTGTTGAAAAGCCAACCCAGTTTTAAATTTACGTTTCACAATGTTCAACTCTGTAGCTTTGTAATTGTGAACCCAATTCAGCAGACAAGGTAACTCCTGTATCAAGTATCGGGAGAAATTTGCCTTCGTGGTGGACATTTTGATGAAACTAATCAACATTTGTGTTACATGGAGAGGAAAATCACGAAAGACTTCCACTGTTTGACGGACGGCAAGAGGACTTTTACCCATGATCTATCTACCACTAATGATATTTTACGTCAGCACTGTGCGTGGTCGATGCGAGCCGGATCAACACCTCCTAGAAGTAGAAAGGCCTCAGCACGGATCAAATTAGTAGTCCGATGTGACGAAGTTAACTGCGCAGTAGACGAAAAATAAGAAAGATGTCATTACGTTAGGGGTACTGAGCTGCGCAGTGGTTGAAAATATAAAATATGTCCTTACGTTTGGACTACTAAGGGATATTTATGGTAACCCGTGCTGAGGCCTGCTCTTATCTAGGAGGTGTTGGCCGGATGCGGAATTCGTATCGACCATCTATCCCTGGGAATCGAACCCGAGGCACCTCAATGGAAAGGGAGCGCTCAATCTCCCTGAGACACCCTGGCTCTATGAAACTATTTCTTTTTATAACCGCCATTAAACAGTCAACGCAATTTTTAATTTTCGTCTGCCATTGTTTAACTCCAAACAATTAACCTAAATTTATTCTTCGAAATTTTCACTTTTATTGTATCCGGTAAGTTATATTAAGGTTATAACTTATTTCAATTAATTTTAAAAACTTAATTTTTGCTATTAATAGCAGGATACTGTATTTCTTGCTTTTTCACCCATTTATTTAATTTTTCTTTTTTAGAATAAATCGTCTAAAAAGTGTTATTATTTCTGAATCTTAACAATGTAAAACTAATTTAAAGATAATTGAATTTTAATATTAAATTCAGCCATAGAAAGAAGCTTTGAGTATTCATATTTGAATAATGGGAGGAAAAAAGAGAAAGATGTAGTTCTATAAATTAAGGTAGAATATTCTTTTGAATACAAAACAATTGAAGTTAAATAAAAACTAAAAAACATAGTAAAATTTTATTTATTTTAATTCTTTTTTTTCTTCTTACACATTCAGTTGTATCCTATTTATATTCTTAAGTCAGTTTGTGAAGTTCATTGTGTAAAATCAATCCTTTGTTGTGAACAAACGGGCTTTAAATAGTTCTCACTCACAGATAAGTTTTTAACTTTTTTTTTCTTTTGTTCTACGAATACTTCCTGTTATTCTTTTGTTTCAAAAAGCTTTTTCCTTCTTTAGCCTTGTTTTCACGCTAAATTTTCTGCATCCATTTCATTCTGCATTATAATGAAATGCAACTGCACACGGAGAAAAAATTCTAATAAAATTACCGTTCTGTTTTAGTACATTTCTGGTAATAAAAAAAATTATAATAAATAAATAAAATTAATAAAAATTTAAACAAACTACAACATAATTCTGGTAATAAAATCAAAATATATGGTATTTAAACCATTTATTTGGTAGTTCTTCCGCTCATGCGGAAATTTGGCTTTTCAAAATTTTTGTACTTATTACCACACATTTAGTAAAAACACAAAATTGAAAAGTAAATTTAATCGAATAAATGATCTTTATTATCTAAAGTATCGCGATAAATTTTCCAAATTTTAAGATGTTTACAACCGAACAGAATGGTAATAAAACCATATTTATTTTTCATTTTACTGAAAGTCATTACCAAAACTCTTCGACAGGGTGCTCCCAAAAGGCAAAAACACGGTAAATTTTACCTTATTCTGGAAAGTAATACAGCGGTCGTAAGGGCATTTGCCTCAGGTTGAAAATCGAAATTATTTTCAATTATAAATGCAATTAGCTACAAAATTACTTAGTATTATTTTTGATGTCTCAACTGCAGCAGTACTGCTGAGCTTTTTTTTAAAAAAAAAATTAATCTTCAAAATGTCACCAGTAATCTACAAAATGTTTATAACAAAGAATTTTGGCAGTAAAATGAAACAATCCTATATA